GTGATACAGGTTCTGATTAGTTCCACTTTGTAACTCCTTTTTTAAAACTTACCATCCTCTCCGTAAAATTCGTCATAATTTCATAATACACATAATTTTGACTAAGTCAAACGTTAATTTAAATTACAAGATTCTCTCTGACTCAGCTTCAGACCCCAGAGAATATTATCGAAATATGCATATTGTGGCAATTAAAATAATAATACCCATTCGGTATCGATTTATAGATTTTTTCTTTATATTAAACGAACTATTTCGACTTGAAATCGCCAAATAATGAATTACAAATTTAGAGCAAAATATAAAATAAATATTATATATAAATAACTTGAGAATTTGCTTGTGAATCAGTGAAAGCGCATTTTATCGACTCTATTGTGGATACCTCTTATGTTCTGAAATGTATACTTATGCACATAAACTGATACCTGTGTTCATTTACTGAACTGTTGTAGGTTTTAAAATAGTGCCTAGAAATATTTTTATATCCTGTGCTATATCAAACATATAAAGTTTGCCACGAAATTTTTAACATGAGCTAAATCGATTTAGCCGTATCTATCGTCTGTCTCTCTGCATATACGTGAACTAATTTCGTAGTTTTTGAGTTGTTAAGACACTGCTCATTTATCGGAATCGCCGATATTCAAACACTATAGGATATATTAGTTGCCATACAAACTTATCATTAAAAAAATCATTGTTTGCAAAACTTTTTTATTTGAAAGTAAATGAATTTAAAATAAATGAGCATATGCCAACAGATGTGATGTGATTTTGACAACTGACATTTCAAACAAATTATTTCATTATGTCACGCTTCACTTTTATACAATGTTCGGAAATTGTACGGGGTTATCACGTAAATCTATGTTCTCCGGTGGCTACTGTAAGAACTCTTTGCACAGCACACGATCATCTCAGATGTTTCTCATTACTTGCTTAATGGCTTCGCCAAAAAAATTGTCTCTACTGGGTTGGGTCAAATTTTCGTATGAAATTGAAGCGGCTGATTTCTATTTTCTACAAGATAATAAGCCGCCTCAAGTTTTAGGTGCAAAATTTGGCGACTCCTTAATTTAAAAAGATGGCACAATCAAATGGCCGCCAAAATCCTGCGATTTAATAGCTTTAGATTATTTTCTCTGCGGGTATGTTAAATCAAAGGTTTATGCTAGTTAACCAGCAATGCTCGAGGAGCACGAGGACAACATTCAGCGCACTATACCAATTCTAGCCGAAATGTTTCATCCGGTCATCGAAAATTAGTGGAAACGGGTGGAGATATGCAAAAAGAGCCGTGGTGGCCGTACGGCAACATTATTTTTCAAATCATAAATAACATAAAATTATCTGAACAAACAACATGTAAGCCATTTTGATCAAATTTGAGTGTTTTACAATAATTAATTTCAACTTCACAACGTTCTTATTGGCAACCCCTAATCTTGCATTTTTGTTATTTGACAAGACGTTTTCATAAAACTTTAAAGGAATTATCATTCTATTTAGCTCAGACCATATAGTTGCCAATGAAACTGATTGATAAAGATCTCTTTATACGCTTTTATGTTTTAAAATATATCCTGTTTTGTTATAAAAAATGCACCTGTGGACGTTATTATGACTTCGGAGTACCCGAAGTAAATTTTTTTGTTTATTGTCAAATTATTTCAAAAATGCTTTCAGATCAAATATATATTAATCTTTATAATAATAAGTTTACATACCTTTGATGACTTCCAAATATCTAGCCTCACACGCTGCACCTGCTGCTTGCCTGCCTCCATAACTTCTTTGTTAACAGGCGGATACCTGTATTAATAATTCACACTTCTTGCATTACAATTTATTATAATATTACCTCATTTTGCTACTTAATTGTTTGTCTTATCATTATAATACATATAATAACCGAAATTATATATTTGTTAAGTATTTATAGAATACAATAGTTGCGAACTGGCTTCCCATGAAAAGGTTTCACTACAAATATTTATTGTAGTAAACACAGTAAATAATATGCTAACTATTACTTATTACTGTGTTAATTAACACAATAGGGTTTAGTAAACACTTTATTACTTATATTTAACACAATTTTATAATTTATTTATATTAACACCTCACTTAAGCCCATGCAGCAGCACAATTACAATTTTATAATTCACTTTATGTCAAATAACAGCTGATTGGCGGCAAATTTACTCGCTGCAGCGGAAACTGACGCGAATGACTCGTAGAAAGGAAGCGGAAATATGGTTGCATTAAAAATGTTTGTTCTACAGATATACGTTATCAGCTGATGGTTAGATAATTGGTTAGATTTGGATATAGTTTTTAGTAGTTTTTATATATGCTTGAGAAAGCTTATTGTAGTTAATAAAAGAGATGTAACTTTTAATTAATGGTGATTTAATAACAATTGTTATAATATATATTTAATACTAGTTATTATCATTTATAATTGGTTTAATATATATTTAAAAGTAATTATTATTATTTATAATTAATAATAATGATTGTTTTAAAGGCCTAAAAAAAGTATTGTCATTTATAATACATAATAATATGCGATTATAATTTTTCTTAATATTTAATTCCATAATTTACATAAAAAACTGTTTTTTGCGAATTTCCTTAGAATTATTGTGGGTTCATATTTTCATTGTTATTACTTCCAAGAAAAAGCTCCCTGTAGGGTGTGGTATATACATACATGTATGTACATTATAATATTTGCAAGTTGTATAGTAAGTGCTAGTGGGAATAAATCTTGCACTTTGTAGGAGAGAGCGTGAATAGCGGAAGACGGAACCTGTAAGCATGTAAGCGTAGTGTTTTGTTGTCAATATTATTGACAGAGTGGACGATGCACATTTTTTAACGGTACTGCCATAAAAGTACTTTTAAAAATTGGCAACAAATTGAAAAATACTTATTTTCTTTCATCTTATTTTTAATATTATCCAAAATGAACTGTCATGATTTTAATTAAAAAGCTCACCAAAAATTTTTTAGATGACTTCTGAACATAGTTTCCTAAATAATTTTTAATTTTTTTGCAGTGTTGGTAGTTTTTGTTTGCTTAAAAGTACTATTACCTTCCGTTTAGGTATACCCGAGTGTCGTTCAATGCAACTTTCTTTATAAGGCTCTGCTTTGTAAAACATATCAACCTTATCCATGCTATATATGACATAATAACGGTATCATTCGTGGATTACTTGTCACTCCCACCACATAACGTCTCAAAATTCCATATACTCATTTTTTACATAAGTACTAAACCTCAAAATGTAGGTTATTAAATGTCGGTAATGTCTCCCCATGCAATTGGGCATAAATAACTTCTGCTTACGGTAACCTGTTGTCTGCCAGTGTGCTGTGCAATTTTCTTTCACTTGCAATTGTATTTCAACGTAGCTTTTGCGCTTACCAGCTGTTGTTGACGTGCGTGGAGCGCAGCAAAAGCCAAACGGCGTTCTCTCTTGTGCGCCGCTCTTTTGCTACGCTTTTTCGCCCATCGTCGTGCCACCCAACAGAGCGCACAGACGGGCAACCCTGTTCGTTCGCTCGCTCGCTGGCTTGCTACTGTTGATTAACTAAAGGCGATGTGTGAAAATTTATTGTTGTTATTTGTTATTTGCCTGGCGTGCGTTTCGGTTGTGTGGAGTGCCGTCGGGTTTAAGATATATTCTATTCTATTATTTTATTATCATTTTCAAAATAGTAAATGTGTTGCCGTAAAGCTATAGAGTTTTGAGCGCGTAGCGATAATTTATGATAAACATTTTTTGTTGTGTTTGATAATGATTCTGATGAATTCTATTGCTTTCGCATTACGGAGTCAAACATTTTGGTGACGAGTGAATAGAAGTAGGCAAAGTGCGCAACAAAAAAAAAAAATAATATAACGAATTACATGACAAATACAAAGCATAAGTGACGTAAAGTGCCGGTTGCGGATGCGGATGTGGATGTAAATGTAAAATAAAAATAATATAATGACATGCAAGAAAAACGAAATAAAAACATGCATACTGCAACAACAACAATGAAATATTAATAAAAAATCTGAAAACAATTTAAATTTGAAGTAAACTTTAAGTGTGGCAGCAATTTTTTATTATCAACAAATATAAAATATACATATGTAAATATAAATATTATATGCAAAGAATTTGCAACAACAACAAAAAAGAACACGAAATTAAGCAGTGAATCACGCTGCGCTCGTCGGTCGGTGTATAATTTCGTCGATAAATATTTGAATTGCTTTTGTGACAGATAGGAAATAGCCGAGCAAACACGCTCGTACCCACAAATACATACATAAGTGAGTTCGTATGTACGTACATATGTAAATGTGTGCCGCTGTATCAACTAAGCAAAGCAAAGTCAACGTATGACAGACAGCTGAGCATTTAGTGGAGAAACCGAAATCGGAAATAGCACAAAACATTTGTGGCGTTTAGGTAATAAGCGAAAAAAGAGTAAAAAGCAAAATTCGCGAACGCGCGTGTGAATTTGGAATTTTTCGACGCTTTCAATGTGTTTTTATTTTCACGCCTTCTTTTCTTTTTTTTGGCAATTTTGTTTGCTTAATAATACATTTATTCTTGGTAAAGCACATTTCTAATGCTAATAAAAGCGCCTTACAAAGTGCATGAGTAAGCAGCCAAATCAMAACAAAAAAAAAAAATTATAAAAACTAAAATACTTGTGCAAATCGCCAAGCGGAAATACCATTTGACCCAGCACTCGAGCGGGTACAAGTGCCAGCTAGCTGAGCGCAAAGCGGCGTACGAGAGCGTTGATGAACAATGCGACTGGGCTTGCTACATACTATACAATATTAACAGACGCTGAGTGAGAAAAATATATAAACAATTATTAGAAAAGTAAATAATTGTAAATTGAAATGTACATTAAAAATATATAAAATATAATTTAAAAATAAAATATAATATAATAATTAAAAAAATTAAAGAAAAAAACGCTAGTGCAGGGCAAAAAATTGCTTACAGCACCAATCACAGGCCATAAGAACAAAAACAAGTGCACACAACTCGTACAAAAACAATAAAAGAAAGGATCAAAATAGAAAAGTCGAAGAAAGAGCGGAAGTGGTAACACTAAAACAACGTAAATCAGTAGGTAGTACACAGCATAGCGGCTTGAAGTGGCGCTGTCATACACAACGACGTTCCTAGAAGCACTGCTATTAAGACGCTTCGACCTACCAGCAGCAGCTTCGCGGTGTCATTGAGCTTTGGCCAACACAACTAGGGTGTGCTGATTGCATTGTACATGCACTAGCACTGCAACACAGGCAAAAGTAGAACGAGTACAAGGAGGAAGGATAGAAGTACGCACGTTCACAAGGAAATGTGGTGGCAATAAAGAATATACAAAAGCAAAAACGAAAAAAATAGATTTTGTACGCAACAGGAAGAGAACTGCTTTCACGCGTGTGTAAACAGACAAATATTATATATAATTTTAGACAACAAGTTGAGGCAATAGCAAGCATTTGGAGGCGGGAATAGAAGCAAACATAATAAATAGAGACCAAAATTTATATTTGCAGTTTTTTGTAGTTCGAGACAAGAATAAAAAAAACTTTGTGGCGAAAAAAAATTAGCTCCACTAAAAATATAAAACAAATATGCAAACAATTTTATTAACGCCTATAACGGAAATCAACAACAACGACGTCAAATAAAATAATATTATACAACAACAATCATAATAAAATACAAAAACAACACGAGTAAGAATTAAAGGCAGTAATCACATCAGTAAACAATCAGCCGTCTGCTGTAGTAGTCTCACAGACAAGAGATATAAATAAATAAAACGTCGAAGATAGCAGCGCAGCGCAGCGCGCGTACTGCAACAATTACAATAATAACAACAGTTATCACAATAATAAACAGCAACAATACAAATCGTCAGTCGAACGTCAGCAACAAATCAACTCACACAAGTCAACAGAAGCGGAGTGTGAGTACGCATACAAACAAACATACATACTTGAGTACAATAAAAAAAAAAAACACAATCAGAACATATAATAATACAAAGCTAAAAAGAAAAACGAAAAATAAAAACAACAATAGTTCAACAAGCAGCTTCGTCAAGAACTAAGAAGAGAAAGGCAACAGCAACAGCAATAACAACTACAACCATAGTCGCCCCAAATTGTACGCGACTACAAACAAACAGACGGAAAGACCGAACGTCCGAAAGGCGGAAAGCTAAGAAACGCAATCGCATAAGCGCTGTAAGCAGCAAGCGAGAACACAAACAGATAGCCAACCAAGCAGCTGGCTGGCTATATACGGCAGGCGGGAGTTAAGCACTCGGGCAAAAGTCAACGCAGTCGACCATTTAGCCACCAAGCTTGGCCCTGTGTGGTGCACGCGCAGCCGGCAGACAACTGTGTTCTGGATCTGGACATATCCGCTTCCGCATTGTGTTTGGCTTCGCATTTATGTTCTGTTCTTTTACGCTTCGTTACACACATGTGTACGTTGTTACGTAGTGGTTCGTTTACGTCTTTTGGCATTTTGGTTTTGGCAAAGAAGACGGTCGCCAACAAGTCAGCGTAGACTACATATGGTACACACATACAAATATATAACGTTTTGTTGTTAGCGGAAGATATAGACAACTTGATATTTATTGGTTTCTCAGGAGCGGGCTGCATTTAAGCATAAGAAACGTTGTAGCTGTTAAACTTTACATGCAACATATTCTACTTTAAGGTAAGTTACAGAACTAGTTAAATAGTAAATAAAAACAAATATATGATTTAATATTAATTATTAATATACATAGACTTGATTATATTCCATGATATTGCTCCGCAGGCTCGCAAAGGGCCACAATGCGACTTTTCCATTTACATATATCGGTTTGCGCTAATTTCTTAATGTCAACTTTTTGGACCTTAGATATTTCGATGTCCTCCTCCTCGATGCTCCTTCTCCAGGTTAGATTCAGTCGGCGTTTTCGTGGGCTGCCTTACGGTCTCCAATCGATAGCGTTTCGTTCGATTGCGTCTGGAATTCGTATTATTATTCACCTATGCATAATTTATCTACAATTTTTGTTAATATTTTACATTTTTTGTTCTAAAATTTTTGATAATATTTGACACATTTTATGACATTGTTAGCTAGTCTTGTTCCTAACGATAAACCAACCTTAATTCGGATGAAAAGCCCGCCTTTTTACCAGATATGTTTTGTCAACATGTTGTCAACATGTTATCAATACATATCTTCGGCAACCTCATCTGCATCCTTCTTAGATTCATTTTTGTTAGCGCGATGACCTATGGTAATATACCAACATATAATATGTATATTTTCCTGTTTTTAAACAAGACTACCTTTAGGTTATAGCGTACTCAGTTCTACTTCAAAATTTATCTGAGTTTTCTGAAAGGTCTATTTTATCTTTAAGTTGATTTCGGATGAAAAGTCTTTTATTGTTTGTTTTTAAGCCACCTGTACTATTGTGAAATCTTCCTCCTTAACTTGTTTCCTCGAACTCTGGCATTTGTGTAGTTTGGTTCTAACTATCGTTAGTCGATTTTTCTTATCCACCCTTCCTTGCATTACCATAGTTTATTTGATCCCTTTTACAAATCAATTCTAACCATCTGACAAGTTTTTGGGCACTTTATGTGTTCTTCGGACCTTCGACTTACTTTATCTATCCCTTTACCTTTTCTGCTAATGTGGAGGTAAATTTTCAGTGTTTGAAGTAATTTTCTGCTTTGAAAAATCACTAAACACTGAAGATGAGAAAGCTGACTTATTTGTTATTAATTATGGCTTTGACTCCGATGCATACATAGCAAAATAATCGGGTCTTATGCCCCAGTTGTTGGCAAATAGTTCTGTTTCACATTGATTTTAGAAATGTTTACTAATCTGTGAACGACACTCCTTTCTATATCGCACTGATTTCATTGTAAAGATAATGAGAGTTATCGAGATACTACCCTATAACATAAAGTTTTGAGAAGTAACATAAAATAAATGTGGTTTTACAAGTACAAAATTTAGAGAGCCATACTTCCGCAAAAAAAAAAAAAAAAAAAATCCAGCAGGCCTCCCATCGCAGGCTAAAAGTAATATATTCCTAAAAAGGAGCATATATTGTAGTATATAAAGAATGATCCATTTCGGGGTTCCCTAATTCTTTTTAAAGAAAAAACACTAAATCTTCAAATTTAATGGGGAATGTTTATTATCATATTCGAAAGAACATTCTAAGCCTTTTTTTAAGGTTATCACTTTCAAATGTTGGCCGCGGCTACATCTCAGATGACCCATCCGTTGAGTTCAATTTTCGATACCTCGTTCTAGCACTTCAACTGGTAATTGGCGAATGACACTCGTGATGTTTTTTTCCAAGGCCTGAATCAAAGCGGGATTGTCCGCATAAACTTTAGAATTTACATATCCCCACAGGAGAAATTTTAACGCTGCGATGTCAAACGATCTTGGTGACAAATCGACCGGCCCAAAACCAATCTGCTCGCCGTAGTGTTCTCGCTGTAAATCCATTGATTGATGCGATATGTGCGAAGGGGCGCCGTCTGGTTGAAACCAAATATCGGCGAGATCACGAGCTTCAATTTCAGGCATAAAATAGTCGGTTATCATGGCACTTTCAATGGTCGTCATTGACGGTTACGTTCTCACCGACATGATTTTTGAAAAAATATGAACCAATGATTTCACCAGTCCATAAAACATACTAAACCGTTGTTTTCTCTGGATGAAATGGTACCGCTTGAATCTGTTCAGAATACTTTTCGTCCCAAATGCGACAATTTTGCTTGTTTACACATCCATCAAGTCAGAAATGGGCTTCATCGCTGAAACAAAATTTGGCTCGAAAATGTCAGATCTTCTTGGAACTTTTCAAGAGCTCATAGAACGAAGCCCTATAATTTGGGAAGGTCGAGCGGTTTCAATTCTTGCACAAGCTGTATTTTGTACGCTTTCAATTTAAGATGACGTAAAATTCGCTAAGTCGTTACATCTGTCCATCTGTGTTACTGCGAGCGGCACCGAATCGACTCTCAGTCTCAGTTTACATTTGAATCGATAGATGGCGCTGGAGGCTTATAGTGAAACCAAAATTAAAACGGACCAACAAGCCTAGTACTGTTATGAAAATATATTTTTAAATAGAAGTGTTTACTTACAAATTTTAATCGATTATTTTAAATATTTTAAACAACATTTTAAATATTTTTATATACAACCACCACATTTTAGCTTTTGCTTAAAATTTTATGATTTTATTTGAAACTAAACGAATTACGTGCAATTTTTATTACGATCATATAAGACGTTTTCTTCTTTTACATTTCTTTTTAATTTCCCACACTGACTAATAATGTCGCAATTCTGAAAATAATTGTAATATACACAAAAATATGATTGTAGCAAGTCATTGCTTAAATTGCTCGACAAAAATGTAGAAACATCTATGAAAAATGTTGCTATTTCCCTTTTGATTAGAACCTTATCGGTTTCATCGGCAAGAAGTACTAAAAAATACGACTATAGGTATCGACTAATTTCCTCCATGATTTATGGGTGCAATATATACGTACTAAATATGTACGTATGTATTACATACAAAAATATGCGCAGCACCCATTGTGACGACAATGGCTAAAATAAAAAAAAAACACAATAACTGAAATCTAAATAAAATATGGTATGGCAAAAGCAGCAAAGGCGGCAACACTAGCACAGCAAGCGCCGATCACTTGTGCTCACATAACGATCAATAATTGCGGACTTAAAGTGCTGAATTGCAAATTGCCATACACTGGCAACAAAAAGGGAAGCAAAATTATATATGGAAAAAATAAAATAAAATAAAATAAAATAAAATAATTAAGCTTAAAAAATAATAAGTGCGACACATAAGAGTCTGTATGCTTATTTGTAGGTACAAGTGTTGTACATATTTATATAAATGTATATATGCATATACATGTGACGAAGTATGCAAAATGCGAAAAGTATTTCCTTATGTATGCGCGCCGCTGCACTGTGGTGTAGGCTTATCGCTAATGGCGCAAAACTAAAAAGAACACCAAAATTATTAATACTTACATATGTATATACAAACATTTGCGTCTGCAAAAATGTTGGAGCCTTCAAAAAAATAAAAATAAAAAATATATATGGAAATATATATAACGTATAATTTGCGGCAGTTCCTGCTTCTTCCGCGAATTCCGCATTTGATTGAATATTTTATTATCGCAAGTGCAAAAGCTATTGATTGCATGTATGTATATATATACAGTTGAGGTATGCAAATACATATATGCTATATGTACATATGTAAGTGCACGTTGGCCTGCACCTGATCGCGCGTCGCCTACTGCCCGCACCGCGCGCTTGTAAGTACTTACAGCGCGCCACTAGCGCGCTCGACTAGCAATTACATGTGTATGCGCGTGTGTAGATATGCGCGCCGTTATAGAAGCTAGAAATCGTGGCGCGTCGCCTGTTACCAACCCTTCCGCCTACTCACAGGACGTCAAAACGTCAACGCCAACGCCAGCGTCGTCGTCGCAATTAGCGTACGATTAAAGTGTGTAAGGCGCAAGACGCGCGGCAAACCGCTTAAATTACAATTGTGAATGTATGTGGGTGTGTGTGTGTGTGTGTGTGCTTGCACGAATATATTGCATGTAATAGCAGGCGTCAGCTAGATTTGCTGTCGTTAACTATTTCTCTTTCCTGGTTTTGATTCTGGCTGGCTGATTTGTGCGCGGTCTTCCCCCCTCCACAATTTGCAAAGAAAAGCGCGGCGCACAGAAGAAACCGAAAACCCGCAAACATACATATGTGCATACGTAAATACACTTAGTCGGGTAGAAACACACACAGAAGCGAGGCAAAGCAAATACAATAAATTAAATTCACTTCCGCATTGCTCCACAAATACAGCAACAGCGACAGCGACATAACACGACAGCAGCAGCAGTGGCAACGACAACGTAAGAGCAATACGATGTACAAACGAAAGAGCGCAACGTCGGTGAGGAAGACAACGAAGGTTGATGAAAACGACCAAAAACTATGCGCGAAAAGTGCTGGTCGTCGCCACCACCAGTCATAGTCGCGCGCGTCGTTTTGGTGTGCGCCTCAACCAAAGCTAGAAGCAGCACCTAAGTGGGAAAGCTGACCCGCGTAAGTCACTTGCACACTTTCAGCAAAAAACTTAACTGCGAACATAAATTACGAGTACAATGTGGGTTTGCCGCATGCGCGCGGCGTTCTATCCCCCCATTCAGTTCCTTAGTTAGACGATCGGTCGGTGGTTTGGTTGGTTGGTCGATCGGTCGCTCGGTCAGTTAACCAAGTGATCAGTTGATAGGGAACTCAGTCGGCCCAGTCGTGCATGACCAGTTTCTGCTGGCGCGTAAAACGTACCGACGTTTCATAGGAACTAGAATATATTTACATAATGTGATGTGTAAGTACATGTATCTCGGCCACAGATGCTACACATCGATCGTCTTGAGCGCTGAGACAGTGTGAAATAGAATTCCAGATTGTTGCTTTGAGGGGAAGGTAGGGTTGAAAGACCCTAAAGAAAAGTAAAAGTTTTAAGATTCCAACTTTCACTGATATGAGCTTAGAAGTTTGTGAGAGGGTATCAAAATCAGATTTTCCTGTAAAAAATCACAATAAGAATTCCTTGGTATAGTAAA